GGCATGGGGCAGAGCTCTGGGGGAGCCTCGCTGCCTTTCCACCGCCCTGAGCTCCGGGACGCCCTGCCTGGAGCTCTAGGAGCTCAGGGACACCCTGCCTGCGCCCCCCAGGAGCTGGGGGATGCCCTGCCCTCGAGCTCGAGGATACTCTGCCTGTGAGCTCGGGGACACCCTGCCCGCGAGCTCAGGGTGCTCGGGGACACCCTGCCTGCGAGCTCAGGTATACCCTGCCTGCGAGCTCAGGTATACCCTGCCTGCGAGCTCGGAGACAGCCTGCCTGCAAGCTGAGTGAGCCTGGGGACGCCCTGCCTGCAAGCAAGCTTGGGGATACCCTGCGTGTAAGCATGGGGCTACTCTGCTTGCGAGCTCGGGGACACCCTGCTTGTGACCTCAAGGAGCTTGAGGCACCCTGCCTGCAAGCTTGGGGACACCCTGCCTGCACGGCCATGCCTCCCCTGCCCACCAGCGCAAACCGCAGCACTAGTTGCGGGCAGCGGTGGACACGAGCGGGCAGAGTTGGGCGTCTGCTATGGGCCTGCCGAGCCCCCAGCCTCCTCGCCAGGCAGGAGCGTGGCAGCGGCGGCAGTGGCTGGCTCTGACATCCCCGCTGGGCTGTGCTGGGGGCTGCCATGCCACCGGGGCAGGAAGGAGCAAATTCTACTTGCTTGACCCAAACCCCACGGCACCGGGCTGGGGACACTCCAGGGGCTTCTCTCCTGTGCCAGGGCTCCAGTGGGTGCCACCCGCTCCCCGTGCCTCTGTCCTGCCCCATCCCTGGTGGTGCTGGGTGCCAGGCCCACTTCTGAATGCATGGGTTTTTTCCCCCTTTCTGTATTTTGCTGTCACTTCTCAGGTCTCTTCCCAGGAAGAGCAGCTGGCGCAGGTTGCGGGAGGTCTGCCGGCGAGGAAGCAGGCTCTTCCTCCTTCCCCGGTATTTAAGAAACTGCTTCCGTGCTGCCCAGTCCTGGGCCTTTCCGTCCCATTCCCTTTACGCGGCTGCGGCTGGCGGTCCAACATCCCAGAGTGGCTCTCTGGCCAGCTCCCTGGCCCCACCAGGCATCACTGCAAGGAGACAAGGGACAGACCCTGTCTGTATGAAGGGGCGACATCCCTGAGACCTGCTGGGGTTTGGCATATTTTGGGGATGAGTTTGGGGCTGGTTTTTGTTGGGAGCGGGGAGGCAGGTGCCGGCCACTGCCAAATTGGAGCCCTGTGCCACAATCCCACCATAGGCAGCTCTTGGTCTACATGCAGACAGCTGCTCCCGGCAAGTGGGCCAGACCCCCAGGCACCCATCCCAGCCCCACACCACCCAGGACACCTATTGGGAGCTCCATGGGAGGGATCCAGTGCAGCGGGTGCTCGGCACCCAGCGCCAGCCTGCACTGACACACTGCCTCCGTGGCTGGGGACAAAAGTCTTCCTGGCCCTGTGGGCTGAGCTGGGATCCTTCCCCACCCCCCTGGGATGCACCGGGATCCTTCCACATCCCCTTGGAATGAGCTGTGGTCCTTCTCCATCCCTCTGGGCTGAGCTGTGGTCCTTCTCCATCCCCCTGGGCTGAGCTGGGATCCTTTCCCATCCGTCCCGGATGAGCTGGGATCTTTCCCCGTCCCTGTGTATCTTGGAGGAGTTGCAGTGCCTTCCCTGGTCACAACAGGCAATGGGCGGCCTGGGAGGGCTCAAGGTGCTGCCTGGGCACACGGCAGTGCTATGAGCTGGGCTTGGCTTTGCTGCTTAGAACCCTGGGCTCCCAAACCTCCGTGGTTCCTCCGTGGCCTCGCAGGGAAGGCAGGGAGGGCAGGACGCCGGGCTTTGCTTTCCAGCCCAGTGTTGGCAAGGCGCTGGGTGGGATGGGCCCGTCTCCCCATGCTGGAGCCGCCGGGCACCTGGGCTGGAGGCCGAAGCCTGTCTTATCTCGCCTCGCGCCGGCAGCCTGGCCCTTGTGTTTAGTCTTCGGTGCCTTGCAGCATCTCTGGCGCCGGCGGCCTGACTTGCATCTGGTGGGTGCTGGGTGCTTGCATGCACCCTGGAGAGAGCTGCTGCTGGCAGCAGCAGGGAGGTGAAACGGCCGGTGGCGTGGCGGGGGCTGCCGGTCACGTTGCTTTGGCGTAATGGCCAGCTATCGCCCCGACACTTGGCTTATTAATTGCTGGTGCTGGCCACTGCCTAGCGGGCTCACCATCGCCACGATCCAAAACCCTTGCCAAAATTTGGTCGCCCTGCTCCCTGGGCTGTCTTGGGGAAGAAGCTGGACCCCCACAGCGGTGGGCTTTGCTCGGGGGGCTGGTGCCGGGGACCCAAGCGTGTTGGCCTTGGCCGGCCGAAGCCCTTCTTGCCGCCATCCCTGCTTGCTGCCAGCAGCATTGCTGGCTCTGGGAGGTATTTCCCGGCCCATCTGCAGGGTGAGGGCGCGGGGGGCGAGGAGGCGGCGGCAGGAAGCAGGCAGGAGCTGCGGCTTGGGGTGGGACGGGGGCTTCTCTGCTGGGAGCTGTCATCTGGAAGCCATCAGTGGGGCGGGAAGGAGGGAGCCGCCTTCCCGGGGCCACACACGCCGGCCGGCCCCGCAGGGACCCAGCCGGCCGGCTCGCAGCCTGCCTTGCCCGTCCGGGGGTCCCTGCTGTGCCCTGCCTTCCCCTCGGCTCTACCCGCCCAGGCTTGCCACCAGTGCTGGTGCTGGGCAGCCCGTGTCCAAGCCTGGCAGAGCCACGGGGCTGCAGCGGGGCTGCTGTTCGGTCGATGCATCCCCCAGAGCTTTGGATATGAGGGTGGAGAAACCCACCCAGCCACTTTTGTGCTCTCCAGCACTGCAGCCATCATCCGCTCTGTGTTTCCCATCCCTTTGGTGGCTCGGCATTGTCATTGCAAAGCGAGGGGGGACCCGGTGGAGGCAAGCTGGCGGCAGGGGTGCAGCCCCCTCCTCCCTAACCCCGTGCCTCTCTCACAGCTTGGCTAACATCCCGTTGACTCCGGAGACCCAGCGGGACCAGGAGCGACGGATACGCAGGGAAATCGCTAACAGCAACGAGAGACGGCGGATGCAGAGCATCAATGCTGGCTTCCAGTCTCTGAAAACCCTCATCCCACACACGGACGGGGAGAAGCTCAGCAAGGTGAGCAGGACGTCACCGGGGCTGCGGCAATGCGGGATGCAGATGCCGGTCCTGCACGCGGAGGTTTTTGGCATTGCTTGTTGGCAGGACGGGGCTGTAAGAGTAATTGGGGATATTTGCATATGTTATTTCAGCGATGGAGGCCTCTCCTGGGGAGGTTTCCGTGGTGGGGGTAGGTGTGCATCGCAAACCTGATGTCCTGGAGCGGGCTGGGTGCGTGTGACAGCACCCAGTGCCCCAGGAGCAGGGTGGCATGTGCCTGGGTGACAAGGTGGTCCCACTGCGTGTGGGTGAGAAGGTGGCACTTAGCAGCTGGTTGGATTCCCGAGACGGGTGAACTGGAGGTTCACTGTGGTGGAAATCCCAGGGAAGCCCCGGGGGTGAAGCAGACCCTGGATGGAGACGCAGGAGCCGGGCAAGGAGCAGTGCTGCTGCCTCCTGAGCAGGGAGAGAGCTCAGCAGGAGGGGGGGCTTGGGGGGACGCCGGAGTTTCTCCTGCCTCAGCCTGCCCCTCCCGGCTCTCCTGCAGGCAGCCATCCTCCAGCAGACTGCCGAGTACATCTTCTCCCTGGAGCAGGAGAAGACTCGGCTACTGCAGCAGAACACCCAGCTCAAGCGGTTCATCCAGGTAATGCCTGCCTGTGCGCCCCAGGGATGGGACAGGAGGGGATGGGACTGTCCCAGCTGACCGGGGAGGGAACATAGTTGCTGTTCTTTGGGGTCGGGGCAAGACTCTCTGCCCTGATAAGCTGGGGAACGGAGATGTTTCGCACCCTCCTGGCAGGGCAGGGGAGCCCTATTCAACCTGGCATCCCTTACCTGGCAGGAGGAGAAGGGCTGGGGTCCCATTTTCCATTTGGGGTATCGGGGTATGGCCTGGTGGCAGCTCCGGCTATGGGGTGGCCTGGTTGAACTGTCCTGGGTGTCACAGTGTGAGAAGTGGGTTTGCACAAGGCAGGGGGGGTGAGGACCAGGAGGGTGGGCACACGCAGGGTGCAAGAGCCCGTCCGTCCCCAGGTGTCAACCCCATGTGCTGCCCAGGTGCCCCGGGAGACCTTTGCCGGCAGGGAGCTGTGTTGGGGGCCAGCCAAGGGGGTGGCATTACCCAGACATGGTCCGGATGGTGGGGGAGCATCAGGGCTGGTCCCCGTCCCCTGACACCACATCCCTGCGGCAGGAGTTCAGCGGCTCCTCCCCGAAACGGCGACGGGCGGAGGACAAAGATGAGGGGATCGGCTCGCCAGACATCTGGGAGGATGAGAAGGCTGAGGATCTGCGGCGGGAGATGATCGAGCTCCGGCAGCAGCTGGACAAGGAGCGCTCGGTCCGCATGATGCTGGAGGAGCAGGTGAGGCCTTGCGGGGCCGGATCCGGCTGCAGCTGCGGCGCTGCCGCCTGTGCAGCACCGCGCTGGCTGTGCGCGGGGCGGGCTCGCCCTCTAGCGGGCTCTGCCACGGCCGTGCCGGAGCCCCCACCAGCGACGCCGGCACTGCCGTGGTGTAAGGGGGTGTAACGGGTCATCTGCTCTGGCCACCTTTGCTCAGCGCTTGGCCGTGGGCTCCCTGGCTCTGCTGTGGCCACCCCACGGAGGGGTACGGGCCACAGCTGGGGATTGAGGGGGGTGCCATGCCGGGAGTGGGTGCCATGCCGGGAGCAGGCTGGGCTCCCCACCGATATTGGAGCTCTCTCTGCTGGCAGGTTCGCTCCCTGGAGGCCCACATGTACCCTGAGAAGCTGAAGGTGATCGCTCAGCAAGTGCAGCTCCAGCAGCAGCAGGAACAGGTGAGGTTGCTGCACCAGGAGAAGCTAGAGCGTGAGCAGCAGATACGAACCCAGGTGAGTGTGTGGATGCTGTCCCAGCCCACCCTGGCCATAGCCCACCCATGGGGACATGGGGACATCCCAGTAGCCTCCCACCCTGCGAGCGGTGCAGCCAGGCACGCGGGCAGTGAAATACAGGGAATCGGGGCGGTTCGGCGATGTGCTTGGCACCTCCCCTGGGCTAGCTGAGTCGGACAGCAATGTCCCAGCAAAGCTCTCGCACTTGGGGAACTGGGAAAAGGTTGGCCCACGGCCCCCTGCAGCGCTTAGGGGGGCTGCACTCACAGGCTTGGACCATGCCACGGCAGCTTCCAAGCGGCTCCATTCCCTGGTGTGGAGGGCTTTGTATGGGGAAAGCTGCTTTCTGGTGGGCAGAGATTCAGCTTGGTGCTAGTGAGCCCATGGTTTTCCAAGGCTGTGCTGGGAGGTGCTGGATGCGGCCGCCCTCGACTTGCCCCTCCACGGCGCTGTGTCCCTCCCCGCTAGGTTCTCCCTGCTGGTCACGGGTGGAGAGCAGCTCCCACTCCAGTGAGCTGCAGTCCTGCTCCGGCTCCCATTGGGCACGTTTCCTCACCCTCGGGCGATGAACGGGTATCCAACCCATCCGTGGGTGATGCCAGCAGTCCTGATGGCACTGCTGCCAGCAATTGATGCAGGTCATGCTCTACATGCTGGAGCGGGTGGTTTGCAGCAGCCTGGAGGCCATCTCTGGGGGTTTACCTCTCACTGGGTGACTCCCACTGAGTTTTGGGGACCCCCAAACTGCTCCCTGCCACCTGCCAGGCTGGGAAAGGGGAGCGGGCGAGCTGGCAGGTGTTGCTGCCAGGCAGACGTGGCAGGACTGCGGGGACAGGAGCCTTCAGCCTTTTCCCCCGGCACAGTTGGATTTGCCAACGGTTGGGGGAGCCTTACGCCAGCTTGGTGCAGCGAGGAGGCGAGCATGGTGCCGGCACCCTGTCCTTGCTCGCTGCTGCCCTCGAGCTCAGCCCTGGGGCTTGCTGGCCTGGGGACCTTCAAAGGGAGGGAGAAAAACCAGCTTCCTCCCTCCTTTGGCTTCTGTGGAGCTGTGTCCCCGCAGGATCCCTCCTGGCCACCTCCCGGGGAAGTTCAGCCTATTTTTAGGTGAACTCTCCTTAGCCTCCTGCTAGGGCGGATCTTCCCATCCGCTGATTTAATGAGGATCTCCGAGGGGTGCGGCGGGTTCCCAGCTGCGCAGGTCAGGGCGATGGGAGGGCTGGCACTTGCCTCTCCTGGCTTAAAAGCCCAAATCTTTTACCCTTCAGGGTACGGGGAATCCTTCACATTCCGCTTTGCCAAAGCTAAGGTGATGGCAGCTCTCAGCTGGCACCCTCTCGCGTCCATCTGGGACAGGTGAACTGGAGCAGCTGAGCTGCTGCTTCAGCTTTTATGGGCTCTCAAAGGAGTCTGTGCTCTGCAAACAAGCGTGATGCTCTTCCTGTCACTGCTGTGCCCAGGTCCCTGCTGACTGCGGGGGTTTTTGCTTCTCTCCCCAGCTCCTGCCATCACATGCTCCCCCAGCACCCACCCACCACCCCACTGTGATCGTTCCAGCGCCGCCTCCCTCCCATCACGTCACTGTGGTCACTATGGGCCCGTCCTCGGTCATCAACACAGTCTCCACGTCCCGGCAAAACCTGGACACCATCGTTCAGGTAAGGGGGGCACTGGGGAGGACCACAGTGGGGGGGGGGTGTGTCTTTGAGGGCTTCTGAACCCCCTTGGGTGCATCAGAGCGGGGGACACGATGTCCTGACAGCAGTCGGTTGCCCTCGGCAGGCGATCCAACACATTGAGGGGACGCAGGAGAAGCAGCTGCAGGAAGAGGAGCAGAGACGTGCTGTCATCGTGACGCCGGCACGCGCTTGCCCCGAGCCTTCCGCCTCCGACACCGCCTCCGACACCGAGGGCAATGACAGTGACTCCATGGACCAGAGCAAAGAAGAGCCCTCGGGAGACGGGGAGCTGCCCTGACACCCCCTGGCTGGCAGCTGGGGAGGGGAGCCGGGGTGGGGTGGGGGGGAAACGTCAGAGAATATGCTGAAATTTTTAAAAAATACAACGCGATTTGGGTCTCTTTTATGACCTTTTTCCAATACTGTAAAGCAGAGCGCTAGAAGCAGGCAAAGGTCACCCTTCAGCTCCCGGGGGGGGCGGCTCGGGGGTGGGTGGGCGCTCAAGGGCGGCCACACAGGGATGCGGGGGGCTCGGGGTGCAGCGGGACAGTGGCAGGGGGGGGGTTGGGGTGGGGGGGGGGGG